AACACCATGGGTGGTACAAACGACAAACGTGGCACCCACTGCTGACGTAGTGTCAAAGACATAATTTGGCGTCCGTCAATGAACAGTGCGCTCGGCGCGAAGCTGCGCCCAATGGATGAGTCACGTCACGGTGGCATGACGTCATGCAAGCATGCCGGCCTCCGGCATCTCCAGCGCCTCCAGCTTGAAGTCGTGCGCAGAAGAGACGGCCAGGGAGAAGCTTCCCTGTTGGCCCGGCGCGAAGGTGCACGGCATGATGACGAATCTCGAGTCGGGCAACAGTTCGTACTCCTTCGATATCTCCTGCAGCGCAGAGACCCCTGGTAAGGAAGCTGCCTGTGAAGCTGTTCAAAGACAAAGTACTTCGAATACAAGTTTGATGTTTGGTGCAACACATTAAAACACATTAATAATTCATGTTATGCAAGTTATTTATTTGTAAATAGTGAATAACCACATTAACAGTCAATGGTCTTGCTCGGGTCACAAATGTCCGATACCCTTCATTTCAGGACATGAAGCCATGAAGGTCATCAAGGCACGAAGTCGTGAAGGTCATGAAGGTCATGGAGGCCATGACAACATGAGGTCAGGAATTCATGAAGGTCATTAAGGTCACGAAGGCCATGTTTCGGGTTTAGGGTGCGTAGATTTTTTGTTTTTGGGCCCTGAGTTCCCTTCACCACCTTCATTACCTTCATATCCGGTAATGATAGGCACCGGACAATCCTCGTTCGGGCCAACCGCCGCCCTTTGAAGCTGTGCTAACTACTTCGTTGTTAAAAGCGAAACAAATATCAATCTAAGATCCAAGGCATACCCCAATTAATTGCTCACCCGCTTGGCCCACCTGCCAGGATGGCGCAGTCTTCATTACCACCTGCTGTGTTACCGTGCCTTCAGGCATAAAATAACGAGTAACACCGTTGGGTCATTGTTATGTGGCCAATCTAGTGCAACTGTACTATATTTTTTGGAACGTGGCACCATTACAAGCACAGTCTTTGTATAAAATACATCCAAAGAGCACCGTAGTGCACCTGCATGGGAACGAGCGGCGTCTCGCTGAGCACGGCGGGCACCGATTTGCCCCCCTGTGGCTTGGTTGGCCTCAGAATGTAGAAGCCGATCATGCCGTCAAGCGACTGGTTGCGCCTCCAGGGCCCCGTGAGCCGCGTAACCGTTACCCTGCCAGGATGTAACAAACGCGGTCAGAGTGCGTTCAGGCGCGGAGGCAACTCTGCACTTGCCCTGTCGACAGGAAGGGGCCGAAGTGCGGATGGGAAGAGAATATGAACAGAGCGCACTTGCGCGCAAAGCACGCACCACACTTAGTCCTCAGTACGTTGGCGCTGCAGTCGCTCAGCCCAGAGGTGTTTTTGAAAAGAAGGCGAAGAAACCGCATAGAAAGACATTTAGCCATGCTTTTGGTGGTGCCGCCGGTGTGGAACTTACAGCAGGTGGCGGTTCAGAGGCAACGACGCCGTCACTGAGAATGTACTTGTTCTGAGGTCGAAGCAACCAGCTTTAAAAGTCAGATATGATGTTCAGGTGGGAATCAACAACTTGCCCAGCCTGGCGGGATCGCAGCATCGCGAGCACTGGACAAGAGTCACATGTGCATTGGCGGTGGGTGCAGCATCCCTACCGGCACAATAAACCGCTTTGTGAGTAAAATTCACGATTCAGCATTGCGCCGCTGTCGCGGGTAGACTCTCTCAGTCCCAGGAATCTACCTGTACGCGCCTTTCTTGCTAGTCTGCAGCAGAAACTTGGGATTCTGATTCCAGCTCTGGTTGAGGTTGCATCCCCCCGACGCTCCCTCGCCCCACGCGCCCTCCATCACAACCGTCTTCATCTGATTCCAGAGGGAAACGCCCTGATGCCTGAGTGTGAAGCTATCATAATTGGATCACAAATACATAATCTTGATAAATGCATAAATGAATCGTCGTTGCGTTAATGCCAGACGCCATATTACAATTGTGAGCCGCAACCCAGAGGTAAGCACCCATTTTGAAAATGATAACGCGTCCTTGATTCTCTCAGTAGTCATTCGCATTATCGTGAAACAAGTTAGGTCAGACTGAAATGAACTGGGTTGCTCACATTCAAACGAACAAATTTTCCACGCAGGTGTCTTCAAATGCTCAGTGGAGTGTGCGCAATTGCGCATCCACTTCAGGAAAATTTTTTCCGAAGACCCCAGCGGGTTTTTCTGCACCTTCACAGGTCGGAAATCGTGTAAGATACCAAAAAAAAACATAAAACACAGGTTTATAAACCTGCTATAAGCAAAACAAATCTTTGCATAAATCTAGCACATAAAATGAAGGACTCAAACATTGAAAATCAATAAATCATATACCACCTCAAGCGCACCAACAATGCTTGTCACATGTAAGAGTCGACCTTCAGAGGCAAACTTTGCCTCTGAATGTCTGCCTCAATTGCCCCGAATTTTAAAGAAATTGAAATTGAGTCAAATTGGCAAATTAGAAATTCAAAGTTGCCTCAATTTGAAATTTGAGGACGCCCACCTGGGGCATGATCGTCATCTCCAGCGCCGCTGCGCTGAGAATCCGCAGCTCGAAGTTGGCTTCGGCGCCCGAATCCACCATGGATGGCACCAGCAAGTAGGGCACCTAATAAGAAGCCACGGCTGCACACGGCTCAGGAGTCACACTGGAAAGGAAAAGAAGTAAAGAAGCACGTCACACTAGTAGAAAATAGGCCAAAATACACGGTTTCGAAAATCGCGTACCATGTAACACGATCGAAATTTATGTAAAAATCATGTTAAATTGAGTATTTACCGTCAGGACTGGTTTTTACGTTTACGTTTACGTTTTTACTTTTACGTTTTTACGCGTAAAAACGTAAATTTGCAAAAGACCCTATTTTTACGGCTATTTTTACGTTTTTACGGCTCCCTTGGACGCCCAGCTTACGTGATGAAAGTTGCGTACAATGATCAGTCCTCCGCCATATCCAGCACCCGCAACACAGTGTCCACCTCGCCCTTCGCAAGGGCGATGATGGTGTTTGACAAAAACTCGTTTTCTGCCCGTTCCAGGGCGTCTGGCTGCCACTCTCCGGACTCCGTAAGTCTGTGTGTACTGTCCTTATGTACACCGGGCAGTTTTTACGTTGTATTTACGTATTTTTACGCATTTTTACGCGTAAACACGTAAAAACTGTTTTTACGCGTAAAAACGTAAATACGTTCAGTTTTTACGGCGTAAAAACGTAAATACGTTCAGTTTTTACGGCGTAAAAACCAAGCCTGTTTACCGTGTATTTATTGTATAAAGCAGGAACCATACCGTGTAGTAATCATTGAGTGAAAGTACATGATTTCTACACGTTTTGACACGGTCTTACACGACTTTTACACTGTTGGAAACCGCGCACTTTGGTCGACTTTTTAATTGCGTCAAGAAAATTAAATGTGCAATTTAAATAAGCAGAACAAAGCTCTAAAGGAGCGATAATTGAAGAAACTTCGCCACGGCAATGCTGCGGGTGGCAGTTCACCATCACTCGTGTCGGTGAAGCCCCGCGAAGGCTCCAGCGAGCAGCGCATGAATAGATTCAAATTTGCCAACGCATTGCAATTCCGCTCTATTCATCTCGATAAACTCGCGGGAAAGGCACGGGATCCCGTGCAGAACTCCCATTAAATCGCTGATAAATCGGACATCCGTTGTAAAAGACGCGCTGAAAATCAGTATACTGATTTTGTAATTATCACGGTTCTACGTAGAATCGTGATTGAAAACTGATGCATCACACATAATTTATTTATGAATGATTATTATCAGTAGTATCAGTACTCGCTGCACAGCGGTACTCAGTAGTATCAGAAGCATACCACAAACACACACTTATCATTTTTTTGATTTGTAACTTATCATTTGCAATATACTTCAAGGGAATGCTTGATACTTAGTACTTGACACCTGATACTTGAAATTTTAGACTATTCTAGATCTCACCCGTGTTGCTGGTGCTCACCTCTGGCTCCATGTGCAGCGCCATGACCGCCTCGTCCATCCTCTCGAACCCCGTCTCCGCGATGACGTCCCTCTCGCCCCGCGCCGCCGACCTCCTCCCAAGGCCGTCCTCTCCCACCTCGGGTGGAACCACCGCGAGGCCCAGGCACCGGCCCGGTTTGAACTTTGGCGGGATGATGGCGTGGCGCACGTCGGGCACGGACAGCGAGACGACCGCAGCCGTGCGGTGCCGGCAAACTACCAAGTACTGCGCATTTCAGAAGGGGTTGGGTTTGGGTGCTTTCTCTGTATATGGTGGTGATTTCACAGGTTGTGTAGACAGGTGAATTGACTGCCTCATTCCCTTCCGAGATTGGCGTGCCAACAAAGCACAGAGGAACGGAGTTCGCGGGCGGGGAGCGTGGCAGTGGCGGGGTGGCGTAGAACTGCAAGATGTCAAGAAGTCTGTATTATGTTCGCTCTTGACTGCTGCATTTACGCGTGCCAATCCGGGTTCGTTCCGTCGCAGATTACTCGCTTACTACCATTTGATGTCCCATCGTTCCCTTTTCTTATGTGTTGGCATAGTTCAAATATTTGTCTTGTTTTCTTTCAAAATTGATGCCTCGCCGTTGCACGCTGGGCAAAATTCTTTCACGCTTCCACAAGCGCCAAACATTTGCATCCGTTGTTGATGACGATATTAAAGCATCCACGTCAATAGCGTAGATGATCGTCAACGCTACCATATCAGTATGTAAACTGACATATCAATATGTCAGGTGTTGTTTCATGCACAGACACTGTGACGCACTAGGAAAGAAAGGGCAAAATAGCACGTGGTAAAACGTGTACAAAATTTACGGGTTTGTGTTATTTTGTTGTCCTTGGCGTGCAGAACTTTGATGAAATGTGTTTTATGTGTGTTCGCAAAATTGTTATTTGGACCTTTTTTCCTAGTGACGGTTGGTGCTGTTTTCGTGCACAAACCTGCCAGGCGCGCACCTGCGGATTGGATCCCCACGTGGGGTTGTGCCGGCTGCCTCCGGCGGATGCGCCTGTCCAGTATCCGGAAACGACGAGAGACAGCGGCGCGGGAAGCTGCTCAATTTCGATGGGGACGCTGCTGAACGTCCGAAGCACGAAAGGCGCCTCCATTCCCTGCTGACTGGACAGCAGCACACCACCCTTAAGGCATATTTTTGCGCAATGTGCTTGTCTTTGAGTGCTCGAGCATATCAGCGTGCAGTGTGAATGTGAGAGCTGACAATGCGCATTGCGATTTCTGAATCATAAAGTTGATGCAAGGACGTAGGTACATGAATGCGGCGCCGACAAAGAGTTTCGATTCTGCATTCAACTGCTCAGGTACATGGTCCAGCATACATACGCCAGCATAGTAAATGATATAATATCATACTGTGCACTGTGTTGTTGGTTGATGTAATTGGAAGGGCTGATGCAGCTCTACAACCAGCACATGAAGATGTGTTGGAAGTTGTGATGGACGCAAATTCTCGTAAGACAGGAAATTTCAGTGCATACAAGCTGTTACACAACATCGAGTGCGCGAATTTTGTTTGCGAGAACACTTTTTTGGGCAAATATTCAAGGTAATGTATTTGAATATTAATTTGTCCCGGGTGAATAAGAGCTTTGGATGCAGGCTTCGCAATCATGCATGGAAACAAATAGGGGCATTTGCGTTACAGCAATATTCGCTGCAGCGCAATGCGCTTGGGAAGTAGCATATGTATCAGTTCCTTGCTGCATTGCGCGGCAGTTCCTAGCTTTCGTAGTAGTTGTAGTAGCTCTACCAACTCATGCACTGTGCTGTGTACGTGTACAGCAGCTGAATAACAATTGCACCTTTATTACATAAACACGAATATTTGGTACATGTACAACGCACTAGACACGTAATTCAGTTAGTACTACGAGGTTGCAAATTACTCAGCCGTTTGCACCTTGTGTAGGGAATGGCCACAAAGGCCTCCGCGGCGTTGAGCCTGAGGGCGACGACGGTCTCCCTCGATGACGTCAGTCCCGACTCATGCGCCACGTCACCAGGATGCAACTTCCATATGCGGCCGATCTCGTCGGGGCGAACCCGAATGACGGTCATGCCGTATGACAGGTCGCGATCGCCCTTGGGCACGTGGCCGCCGTTACAGATCTGAGGCACATTGCGTGTACATCTACGCTTACATGTGGGCATTTAACATCAATCTAATTCAAATAAACTCAATGGAATCATCTAATGCTGAACAAAGTATGTCAAGATATGATGACAGCTTGATGCACCCGAACATGAAATCCATCACAACGCTGGATTTCATGACATTGTGACGCAGGTGTAGTTGATTTCGGTATTTTCAGATGCTGTTTTGAATTCATAGCATAGCGTTCCTTTCAATTAAATACATTACTATAGATAAGCAATTGAAACCTGTAGATAGTAACTGAGATTGCTTACCCGCAGCATCTTTTGCGGCAATGATCACCAAATTATGGGCTCGCATTGCAGGAAACGAGATTGAAAATACATTGTGTTAAAATACGTCACTTACGTAAGCTTCCTCGTGCCAAAGTGGTATGAGGCACAGTAATCTACAGTACTTGTACCCGTTTTCTGAAAGGCAGTTTGTTGCAAACCGCTCAAAATTACTCAATGGGACAATTATTTGACTGAAGCAAGCAAACAGAAGCAAATATGTACATACAGAAGGTTCAGAGAAGCAACAAAAAGCAAAAGAATGTATGTACCAGCTAGCCAGATTTTTCACATATATTTTTAAAACAAATGCGCATATTTGTATTGACATATCTTGAAACTGTGCATTTAATTGAATTAAATATTGTAGAAACAAACTGAAATTAGTCAATGGCAATTCATATGAGTAAATTTGAAGGATTTTTGGAATTGGATTCGGAAATATTTGAAAATAGATTTAGCATGTTGCATTTCTTTTGCGAAGAATGCGGAAAGGGTGTTTTCGGCATTTTATTACACTCTCATTAATTTTATTAAATAGCGTTTATCTTGACTCCTTTGTGCAATAAGTTTTCCAAATTCAACCTGAACTGACATCGATGTCAGCAAAATTTTCTTCCAAAAGAAGCAGAATAGAATTTCCATACAGAAACAATAGTCCCCTCTGTAGCTCCGGTACATATGGTGACACAATGCCACTGGATAATACAACAAATAAATGGGCAATGAAAACGCGCTTAAAATATAAGCGAAACGTTCTAGTTGTTGCTAAAATAAATACTGCGAATTTGTGGCCCACCTGCGGGTCCTTCTGCTGCAGGCACAACAGCACCTCGCAGGCTTTCCTGGCCGTGATCCTGAACTGTGGATTACAGCACCACGTGGATGACTGGAAGTTGCCGGGCGGCTGCTGGGAAGCTGCGGCGCTCCAGTATGGGCCCCCCGCGCCGGTGCCGTTCCATCCGCAGTGCAGCGTCAGTTGGTGCCAAAAAGGCGGGAATAGGCGGTTCACGTATATACGGTTGAAGATGGTTATGAAGTCCCTGCAGAATGCAACAAATTGGACACGAAAATTGTGGATCGTAAACTGTAAATTGAATGTGCATAACAGGGATTCCCAAACAGCACACATTATGACACACAATCTTTTATTCCGTGGATGAGCATGTTTTTGTACAGTTTTGTGTATTTGCCATCTAAAGACGAACAGACTTGTAAACAACCCGCAGCGGTGGCTGACAAACATTATTGCTGGAAAGTGTGGCACAAGGATCAGTACTTTACAATACATATAAGTATTATAAAGTACTAACTGGTGGATCATTTCTTCCCTGAAATGGTTATATAACATGAAGTGTGGTGCCTTTCGCACCGAACTGACCCATTCGACCGTGATCTCACTGCGCATTGCCAGTCGCAACTGGGTTCCTTATTGTCAACCCGTGGTGCAGTTATTACGCACGATATATCGTGTTTGCATGTACAGACCAGCCGCAGATTGCCAATGAACGGGAAGCTCCAAAAACAAGGCAAATTGGCCACTGGCTGCAAAACTTCGCCAAAAGACTGCTCCATTCACAAGTAGAAACAGCGTGCTTCCGATGCCAACTGCGATCCCATTTGACACAAACTGACGCAATCGCAGCCATTTTTATGCCATCGCAATCACTGTGACGGCGCCAGTGACATTTAAGTTGGCATAGAAACATATTGTTTTCTACTAGTGTGCCGTTCTGAATCCATCCCTTTCCAGCGAAAGTGCAATCCTGTGGACGCCAGACACTAGGAAAAAAAGGGCCAAATAGCACTTTTGTGAACACACATAAAAACACAATTCATCAACGTTTTGCACGCTAAGAACACAAAAATAACACAAACCCGTAAACTTTGTACACGTTTGAACACGTGTTATTTGGCCCCTTTTTCCCTAGTGAGAAAAGGCCGCGTTGACGAATGCTTCTCAGTGTACTGGACAGCATACGTTCGTTGCACTGTACAATGTACTGTACAGTACAATTTACTGCACTGTGCACAATTTACAGTGTGCTGGACAGTACAGCACATAATTCAAACTGCAATAGAACACATTGCACAGGGAAACGCGACGCCAAGGGACGCGCAAAGAGCGCTGCACTGCACTGCACCCCAACCACCCCATCAATTGTCCACGCGCAGGCACCGTCGCCCCTGTTTACCGAAATTGCATAAGGCTCAGTGCTGGCTTGCACCACTTTGTCCTGAAAACGGCTGTCATTCCTTGCTTGCTCGCATTGATGAACAACAATAACAAGTACTCCCAAAGCTAGTGACTGTTTTTCGCGGCATTCTTCAAGAAATTAAAATATAAATATAGGAATACAAAACAATGAAACAAAACTTGAATTCGAGGGGTTCACGTCTCGCCCGCTGCCCCACCTGTACTCCATCCAGAAATCCACCTCCTCCCCTCCCGCAGGCCGCCCGCCGTCCCCCTCCCTCAGCGCCTCCCCTTCCTGCTCACCCATCTCAGCGCTGCCCCAAGACCAGGGCCCGCTCCACTGGCCCCCCCGCCACGGGTTGGCCAGCTTGACGAGCTGGGCGCCGGACCGCAGGCGCCGGCACGCCAGCAGAGGATAGGCGCGGTTGAAGTGGACGCCGCCCTGAGCGGTGGCGCCCTCGCCCGCGGTCTTGAGCCTGGAGACGCAAGCGATGGTGTAGCCCCAGGAGCAGAATTGAGCCAGCTTGGTCCACAGGACACCTGGGGGGCGGGCAATGATTTAGAGCCGCGTTGGTGGGGCTTGGCGATGGTTCGTGCATGTGTTGGAGCGCAACTGGTGGAGTGGATGTGTGTGCAACTCGTGGGAAATTCGAAACAGCATGGGTGGGGTGGGTGGTTATGTTTGATGCGCATGCGGACCAAGTAAATCTCTGTAATTGCACTCAGGAACATGCAAATACCAGATGGATTTTTCGAAACGCCCAAATGGATATAAATATCTATCGAGACGGTTCAGATACAGTTATAGATCTGTAACAATTTTGAAGATATGCGCTTCGCATTGCAGCTCAAAAGCATCCCATTTCCTAATCCGAACGAAGAACAATCGGCGACGGCACTAGAAGCAGCACCCACGCAGTAACCCCGCTTTAGCAGCAATACCCATCTCGCATTCCAAAGCAGTGGGCATTGGCGTCTAAAGCCTTCAAATTCTGTCATTATAGGACCATATCGCGCGTTTGAATTCCCACTTTAGCAACATGCCCCATTAAAGTCATCAGGAAGATCAGTATGCTCTGGTGCGACATGGTGCGTAGATTGCCATTGATGCAACGACGAAACAATATGGCAGCAAAGTACTGATGCAACGTACCAGCATCGAATTAGAATTGGCACACACATCAGAACATGTCAATATTGACGCATGGGGGATTTTCTGATGCATTTCTCGGCAATGCGTCGATCACAATGCAGCTGCAACATTGTATCGACGTCTACCGAATTTCCAGATGATAGGACCACACCACATGCTGTCAACCGCGCTTTAAAACAAAAAATTTGCCGCCGCTTCCCTCCAGCCCCCGTCCGTTACCGTGTCTCGCCCGTGCCTGACTCTGCCTCTTCCCGCGCCCCCGCCCCCTCCAGCCGCATCTTCTCCACCACGCCGCCTGTTAGGTCCACCATGGCCTCCCCAAGGCTGCCTCTCGCCAGGGCGCTGTACCCACCGTGCAGCTTCGCGTACGCCTTCTGCACCAGCGGCACCCACAATTCCCCTCCCCCGTCCACGGTGGCAAAAAGTGGGCCCCAGATCCCGGGATTCGGGCCCCCGTGCCCGGGATCTGGGCTGCCGGGACCGGGGTTCGGGTCCCTGGGCCCGGGGTCGGCGTATGGCAGGTGGGTGTCCACGGCCACGCGTTGCCAGCAGCCGTGCTTGTAGAACTGGAAGGTCGCGGCGCCGGAGGGCAGGCGGGCGTCGCTGGCGATGAGGTCGAGGAGTAGGTCGCGGCGAGTGGCCACGGCGGCCAGGGCGCCGAGGAACCAGCGGCACGGCAGGAGTCCCTGCGGGGAAACGCAATTCGCAATGGCATGGCACAGCAATTGCAAAGTGGACTTTTTGACGTTCTAGGATCCACAATGGGACCTATTGCAATGCTCGCAGGACGCACCACATCAACCGCAATGACATGACGCAGCCATCGCAATGTGTATTTTTTGGTGCTTTGGAAAAATCGCAGTGGCAATTCACAGGACATAGGACGTGCTACAGTGCGCGGTACTGTGCAGGGCACAGTACAGCGCTTGCAATTTCAACTCATAGGGTTTGCGCGTTTGTGCGGAAGGACCAAGCGCAGTGCTTTTGCGGAAGCGTTTTTCTCGCGTTCGCTGCGTGTGATGATTGCAGTCGGTTTGTATGCGCTGTACTACTTCAAGTTGCCTGGGACAATACAAACCGATGCTTTTGCACCTTGGAGGCGATTGAGGCCCTAAGCGCCACAATGCCACATAGGATGCAACTCTTGAGGCATCGCCTGCGTTGTTCTTGCCAAACAAAACATTTACCATACGAGAGAGAAATGTACAGATTTCCAATACCTCTCTGAATTTCAAACCGGGCCCAGAAGGCGCGTACATCTGTCCCGTGGCCCTTCTCCATGACACGGCTTTGGGAGCGCTGGCGGGGGGCTGAGACGGGTCCACGTACCTGTTTGACATCGGGGAAATTTTGCAGCGAAATTTTGCTGCCCGAATTTTGCTATTTTGTTCCTGAAACTCTCGGCGAAGAGTTAATTTCTACGAGTTCTTGAATTTAGCCATGTGCTGCACCCTCACAAATATTTTCAACGATCGTTTTGTTACTGTTTAAATACAAACTCATGGATCATTTGGAAATCCTAATTTAGGAAGCCGTGTTGAAAAGGCACCAAGCGCGTCTACACAGTTGACTACATACGATCGAAATTGAAGCGTTGATTTCGAGTCAAATATGCGCCATCAACATACGGCAATTACATCGCAATGTGATTACGTACTAATTCAACGATGATTGTGCACCAATACGGCAATATGTACACAATTACTATACGCTTTGTGATGGCATTTCCCACCAGTTTTTATAACACGCAATCCACAATGCACCCGCTGCGAAAGCCCAGCTGATCGGAAGAAGAGACAACGTTAGTGGCATTGCAAAAGCCTACGATCTGAAATACTTAAGTACTACAACAATAAATACAACACTCACACCAAAATTTTTAATGTGCTAAAACGCAAAATTCGTACAATCTTTCCCAGGGAGTTGAGAAACACGTGACTGTGGAGTGGCATTCCGTTTTCATCAGCCAAATCGTCATATATCCGCAATATGAAAATAAGGAACACCTGCAATACGTCTAGAAAACGCTTGCGAAACTGCCAAAGGACTTGGTGAGCGCGAACGGCCGGGCTTCTTCGCGAAAGTTAATCTAAAGAATCCTAAAAATTTGCAAGAAAAATTCCAGGAAAGATGTGTGAAACTGCAAAGATATTTTGCAAAACAGTCGTTCGCAAAATGCTGCAAAATCCAATATTCCGCACAATATACATTTCGAAAGCTCTGCGCGAGAGGCTAAGCGCCTGCGCGGAAAGGCGCTGCCGCCACTCACAGCGATGAGTCGTGCGGCGGAAAGGACGGGTCCACGCAGCCGCCGTCGCCCCCCTCACCCGGCCCCATGTCCTCCTCCGTCTCGCCGCCCAGAGTGGGGATCCTCAGCCATCTCTGCGCCCATCGCAACAACAAGCCCTCAATTGACTGGTCAGAAAGGGTCAGAACGGTTCAGCAGCGCCACGGGGGCCCAAGCCACCGGGGCTAAATTCAAAACCCCGAAATTCGAAAATACAAAATTTGCAGGCTGCTCGGGCTTCGCGGGGGGCGTGTGGCGTGCCTCTATGGTGGCGACGGTCTCCGCCTCGGGCGGCAGCGCGCTCTGGCTGACGAAGAGTGGGGAGTTCAGGCTGCCCGCCACCTCTGAGAGGCCGTCGCGCAGCGTGGGCGTGGACCTGCGCCGCGAGCCGGAGCTGGCGGAGGACTTGGTGTGGCGGCGGTAGCTCATGCCGACGACTGGGCGCCCCCCTCGGCCCGGGGGAGGCCCGGCCGGAGAACGTGGACTCTGAGGTCTCCGGGGCTTATCTGGGTTCGAAATTCGGACTTGGGAGCGGCCGAGGTGTTGACCTCAGCCAAGGGAGCCCACGAAGGGCCCCAAGGCTCCGTGGATTGGAAATGCGGGCATCGTACAGTTGTTGGTGCCACCTTGTGATCAATAGGGAAATGGAATGGTCTATCGATATACGAATCGATAGGGACATGGCCCATGAGCTTAAAATTCTCTGGAGAAACGGTGCCAAAGGTTTCTTGGTCTTCGCTTACGTTGCACATGAGACTCAATGAGCAAATCATGGACACGGCTTTGCCTGGGCAAATTAAGAAGCTGACGGCTACATCCTTGCCTTGTTGTGTAAAGCTTCATGATGGCGATGGTTATTGTGAGGGCGATGAATATAAGGCAGAAAATTATAAGGTGAATGGTGTCAAATACGGTGTGATTAGGCATTGCGAATACGGTGCTAAAGTGTGGTGAAAATGGGAACGGTGGTTATTAAATGGGGACATTTCCTGCGAGCACCTTTTGGTCGATGTGCTTGTCCTGTAATGCATCTGCTTGCGGCCTCACTTCCCGTGCCTGAGGAGTGACAGTGTGTGAGCCCGTGCGACGGCGCTCGGTTAGCCCGACAGTGTGATGAATGCACAATGTTGTGCGTCAAAGTCTTCGAACTTTGATACAACAAAGTCCACAATACATCATTCCTAACTCCTGCGAATTCTTTGTTTATAATAGTACATGGAAAGAGGTGTTTTCGCCAATTGGTGAGGGGACCAGCAAAACATGGTTCTTGCACTACGATGCCAAAATACACTTGACTGGTTTTGATTCATACCATGCACGGCAGTGAAATGTATGATGTATTCCATCTTCTGAGGCGGAGCGGCATAAAGTACACAACTGGCTTGAGAATTCGAGAAGAGACTACCACAACAAATCAGCAAAATAAAATCCCTCAAATATGTTGTGTCCAGTGATAACGAAAATCGGTTGTATCAGTGGACTCGCTTGTCCAACCTGTACCATCGCTGAGTCCTTGAACATTGCCGGGAGAAAATGTTGACAATGTGAACTTGTTTATAGGTCTGTTGAAAAGATTGCATTTCAACTGATGCAGCCTCCGTTGAGTCGAAAGCAGGCCAGAGTAGACAAAAGAAAGAAATGATGCGTCCATACCACGATCGAGGATTGACTTAGAAAGTTACAGAAATTCAGACTGGAGTTATGGCTCCATGTACCCTAGAGCTGAAAAGTTCCAACATTCAAATTCCAGTACCTCATCAATTGACTCCACAAAGAAGATTCTGAAGGAAGCGCCCGCACTTTCACATAGATAATGCTCAGTTGTGGCTAGGAAAGGATGTGGCCAGGAAAGCAAAGAATATGGCACAAAAAATGGAGATCAACTCCTAACTGGAGATGGTTTGGGATTGGAGTTTGGAGAACCATCTCCAACTGATTCCACTGAGGAATGCCGTATCCAATGGAGCCCATTAAATAGACCTTGAAAAGGCTGTGCTCAATGTTGGTGTCCGCCACACAAAGAGAGCGAAGCCGCTGAAGTGTGCACCTCTGAGCCTGGCGTGCTCTCCCCAGAATGGCATCAAGGTATGGTTGAAAAGTGACCCCACTGCAGTAGCGCAATTCCACTACGGGAAACCAGCCCTTCCAGTAGCTGCTGGAAGAAAGCCCCATGCCCGAACAGGCGTGCCCTCCTGGCATTGAAATGTCCCAAGGGCCAAACCGCCACTTGCAAGGAACTGCAATAAAGAAAGCCCCAATGCCAGCCTTCTTGCATGCACGTCGCATCTACGCCCCAAATCATCATCAGCAGCATTTTTTAAAAGAACAAAGCAGTGAGGTAGCCGTCAGCTTCCTAGTTGCCCGAGCAAAGCAGTTTCTGTGATCAACTCATTGGAATCTAGTGTTAATCTGACGCCCGACACATCCACATGCACAGCATCCTCCCCGGTCCGACATCCCTCCCGGCCCCTTCCCCGCCCCCCCGCCGTCGGCAAATAGAGTGACGGCGCGTGACTACCCGACCGCCGGTTGGCAACTCGCACCCACTCCCCACCGCTACTAGTCCACCCGACCTAAACCAACACCCCTCGCCACCACACCACACCCCCGTTCCCCTCCCTGCACAGATACTTTCCCCAAACCGCCGCTCCCAACACGCGCAAGGGCGCATCACCGGCTATCCCACGGGCGCTCGAGGGGTCTCGGCTGCAGGGAGGACCGCCAAGCGATCCGCTGCGCTGGCTTGCTGGGGCAGGATGCTTGGCAAGGAAGCCAAGCAGCGAGCCGCCGCGAAGGAGACGGCCTCGCGGGCGCCCGCCCGCCCTGATGCCAAGAAGCCCGGGACCAGCGGCGCTGGTCCCAAGCTGGCTGGCGCGGCGAGATACGACAAGGTGGGGCCGTCCGTTCGTGCTTTCCGTCGCGCAACCCCTGCGCACCGATTCGCTTGTCTTTTCCCGGAGGCTCTTGGGCGAGCGGCCCGCGACAAATTGCGCGCCCCGGCTCTCGAGCGGCTCTCGCGTCATCATCAGGATGTCATTGCTGGCGAGAATGCCAGAGGCAGGGGTTGGGGTGGCGTGGAGATGGGATGACTGGGGTGGCTGAGGAGGGGTGGTGTTGTTTCCGTTGCGTCGTGTGTCGCAGATCAGGGACCTGAATTCGGGGAGCTTCGGCTTCGTGCAGCTGGCGCGGGACAAGGTCACCGGCAAGAAGGTGGCGATCAAGTTCATCGACAGGGGCAGCAAGGTGCGCAACGTTTTCCCCTTCTGGTGTTTTTGTGGGCTGAGCGGTCTTTGCGACGAGCGGGTTGGCGGGATGGCCGCGAAACTGGGGCCGCAGCGTGGCGTGCCCGCTCGCTCAGCCGATAGGCGGATCTCCCGCGCGGGGCGCGGCCGGTCGATCGCGGCGAGGCGGAGAGCAAGGGAGAAGGGGGGGGGGGGGGGGGGGAATGGACGAGGTTCTGAGCGCCCCTGAGCACGCGTGTGGAATGGTTGCATACGACGACATCGTTCACTGCGGTTGGGGTGGGGTGGAGTGGGATCGTTTCTTGGACGCGGGGGGCACCATGCCACGGACGTCGGGCCTCCCCCGGGCGTCAGCTGGGGTCGACGGTCCGAAGGTGGGCACGTCGATGGGGCCGTAGCGCCGCTGCTGGTCTGCTTTTGGCGCTGGTGCCGCCAGTGGATAAGGTCGCGCGTGCATTCCGCGCACTGTGGGTCGTGCAGATGCTGGGACCCCTTGCGCTGGAAGTTTCTGGGAATGCGAGAGGCCGTCTGCTGAGCTGTAAGAGGGCGTGCGATGCGTCGGACGGCGGCCTTCCTGAGCAAGGAAGTTGCGGGACTGCTTGCCATCGCTGGGAAATTCGCAGGCCAAACCATCTGGCAAACTGAGCTCCAGGACAAGCACTGGTTGCTTTGCCTTTTTGCGTCGCCACGTTTATCCCTCTTTCGTTTCTTTGCTTTTTCATGTATTTGCCATTCAGGTCTTGCAGCTGGTCTCCTTGCATTTTGTGTCTTTGCCTTTTGCATGCAATGCCTGAAAAGGTGCAGCGGAAGCGCCTCAGAGTGCAACAGCAACGGCATGCCATTTGCACATGGTGCCTGTGTACATCTGGCTTGGCATTGCGCCAGAAACTGGCAGTGTCGATGGGCGGGAGGGATGACTGGTGCTTGAAGGTATGGAGGAAAGGGATCATGAGTGCACTGTCTTGGCCGCGCAGGTGAACAAGCACGTGAGGAATGAGATCATCAACCACAGGAACCTGCTGCACCACCACGTGATCCAGTTCAGAGAGGTGAGGGTGGCATCCAAGACTGTCAGAAGCAGAAGTGAGAGCTGGCGTCGCCAGTGGGATTTTGGTGATAAGAGGAACTGTTTTTTGGCGGCGCTCGAAATAATTATTTGGGATCGAAAGTTTCGAAATGCGTTTGGGAGTCAAGGTGACGTCCCAAATGTGGCACAAAAGTGATTGGTAAGGGACACTGATAAAGTGCGTGGCAAGCGATCGGGGGCCAGATGTGCCTGCATGCCATGGTGCTCTGCTCAGTGCATGACGGGCCAAGTATGCAATGTCTTGGCTGTGCGTTACTCCACGCTGCAGGCAAGGAATAGACGAGTTTTTGTTCCAATTGCTACAAGGAATAGTCTGCTTAGTTAAGTTGTTGGTGGGTGTCCTTTGCAAGGTAAGTTCAATCCTCTGTGTCAGGTTTTCCCAACCTGTTGTTGCAGGAGCACCATGACAAGAAAAGGTACTTAAACAATCACAAGGATAGAATGTGAAAGTGACATGTCCAAGGGGAAAGGGAGGTACAACAATCCTCTACACTCCGGAGCAAAACACAATTTTTGTTGATTATTGTTAACTGGCTATTCAGTGAGTTTGTTACCTTTTGAAGCATGAAGAAGCAGCCTGTTCTAACATGGGGCAGTGCGAAGGATGCTATGTGTTTGCAGTTGTGTCAGAAACCAGACAACATGGCAGACAATGAGCAGTCCCTAATGGCCAGAATCGCCAGCAGAAACTTGCAGCCCATTCTACTTTTTGATAGTGGAATGCGGAGAACCGGCAGATGGACATACTAGTCATGGTATGAGGACAAAATGCACACACTGATGGGAAGGAGTTGCAGACAACATGTGCACATTACTGTCATGGGGGTGTCTGTAAGAAACTGAACCCCAAGAAGACAAGACTTGCACCTTGGGCCAGAGCTCCTGGGAGCCTTGCAAAAATAGACCATGATTGCATTTTCATATGCATGGATGTGCATTTGAAATGCATTTCACTTGGACTCCATTTGCATTTTCATTTGCATTGATTAAATTTTCATGTTTGTGTTGCGGATTTGACTAATTTATGATGAGCTGTTGTTGTATGTGCTATTTGATGTTTCAGACAAAGCAGATTGCCAGTCCGATACCTGAGCAACATACTCAATGGCGTGATTTGCCCATAACCTAAACTTTAATGCAGTCTCCTTGATTGAGTCCTGAATTGAGTGCTCCTCATCTGTATGTGGCAGGTTTACTTGACCCCCAAATACCTGTGCATAGTCATGGAGTTTGCGCCTGGTGGTGACATGCTTGATTACGTCAAGAGGAAGGGCGGCCTGACAGAGGACGAGGCCCGCTGGTTCTTCCAGCAGCTCATAATCGGGCTTGACTACTGCCACAAGATGGTGCGCCTTCGAAATTCGCGTTGCTGGATTTGATGGCTTTTCAAGTTTTGGTGGCTCGATTTCATGGAAGAATCCCTATGTATAAGGCATAGATACAAGATAGATACAAGGCAACATAGATCCCTATGTATAAGGCAGCCAATTGTGTGAGCCTCGGCCTTGCGCAGGCCTTGGCATGTTGCCTTTTTCCCACACTTAAAAGAAAGCAGGTCCTAATAGGGCACACCTCACAATCGAGTGCATGTGACACTCCGTACTGTGAATGATGGCTGAGTGTCTCCTTGTGCGAGTTGATGGCCACACAGCACCAGCAACACGAAACAAGGAGTCTGCACTAAGGGGCCAGGGGGGTTGCAGAGCACTGAGTGCTATGTGGTAAAATGTATTAAGAAGAGTGTCAAATGTTGTAAAAATTTCTAGAAAGTACTCAGAGCTCGGTCTGTTGCCTGCTTTGTCTGAAGGCTGTTGCGCCTTGTGGTGGGGGTTTGGCCCATCGTGTGATGCATTGTCTCCATTAACGAAGCGGACAGTGTGATGGATAGTGCCCGCTTCTGTCGAATGCGGTTTACCTTTGCAATGCACAATTATGCAAACGACATAAAACAGTTATCTTTGACTTCAAGATTACCTTATAGCATCAAAATCTTTTCATTTTTTCTTCCACTTCTGTGGCACTGCTGCACAGTGTAGATGTGTTGACAATTGAATGTCGTGCTGCTAGAAAAAGTCCAAGTGTCCAAGCATCTATGCTCGACTTTGGGCCGTCATGCCAGAAACCATGAAACAAAGCCAGCCCTTCTGCCCAAACATTTTCAGAGCCCAGAAATGTACCCACAGGAACAGAACACCTGAAAGACTGTGCGCAGTTGAAATATCTGTTTATCGTGGTCACTTTCTTCTGCAGTTTGGATAGAGACCCCCAAATACCTTGCCCACGTGTTGCAGCAGGCAATCCTGTTCTGCGTTTCATTTTATTCCACGTGTGCTGCTGATGGAAAACTGTGCTATGCATGGAGGGTGTGGCCAACAGGGACATCAAGCTGGAAAACACGCTCCTCGATGACAGCCCCTGGCCGCTGCTGAAGATATGCGACTTCGGTTACAGCAAGGCGAGTTTACAAAGTTTCTGATCGCAAGGGGCTGCACTGTTTTTTGACTTGGGCAAGGGCTGGCCTGCTCAGTGAACAGGTTGCCGCTTGTCTCAAATCCTAATCGTGTGGCCCATTCCAATGTTCAGGGTTCAGATCCATTTGTATCAGCACAGAGTGCTTCCCCAGCACCCATGCGTAGTGCCAGAATGTCCAGTGAACTATGTGTCCACATAGCATTGGACCTCTCAGCATGTCCAACCTGCACTCAGAAATACAGTCAGTCTGCTGGCATGATTGTTACTATCCATCACCATCCGAACTACATTGTGCTGCCAATACTTTAGATTGGAAGGCACTGTGTAGCAAGAAAGTCTTCATTGGACAATGGTGGGTCTGTTGTTTGTCTTTATATGATGCATTATTCTGGTATTGCAAGAGGAAGTTGGCGGGCGTGGCGCAGCTCAGGCAATGCGCACTTGATTGGGTGCAGCTGCTGGGCTTGCTGGGCTGGGTTTGTTCGTTGTCCAGATAGTTGCATGTCCAGTCTCAAGGCCTGGTTCTGTTTGCTGGGAATTGCACATGTTGGCGTTGACTGCTGTTTTCATCGCCTGTGCAGCATGAGGAGCTGAACTCTGCTCCCGGCTCTAGGGTGGGCACTCCAGCGTACCTTGCTCCAGAGGTCATCATGAACACCAGAGGGAGCACATACGATGGAAAGGTACAGTACGTGAATTAAGCCATAGGCAGTCGATGAGTTGATTGATTTCTGCAGCACATGTTCTGTCTGTGTGTATGTCTTGGAGCACAATTGGACAGAACTATTGAGCCTCCACAACACGTTTTGGCTGTGGCTCTGTTTTGGCTCCGGAATTGGTTACATACACACAAACAACATCGTATGGGTACATTTGCATGTTGGTTCCATTGAGGTACAATTATAATGTTCCACTTTGAGAGCCGCCACAGGGACGTGCAGTTGCAGAATCAAGGGGGAAAATGGGATCGTGTGGTCCCAAATGGTGGTCGCATATCATCTACGGTTATCAAATACACAGTTCAGAGAGACTCGATGCTTGCAGCAATACATAGTCAAGATATGCCCTGATAATGACTGGAAACATGCTGCTGTGGCCTTTAGACTGCTGACATATGGTCCTGCGGAGTTTTTCTCTACGTCATGATGGTTGGCTCGTACCCCTTTGAGAAGTCGGAAGACAGAAAAAAGCCGGACAAGTTGAGGAGGATGATTCAGGCAGGGGCAACTTTTACAACTAAGCATTGACTGCACTGTATACCGATAGCACTATCACTTCTTTGTAGGACATTGTGTGTTGATCAGTTGACTCAGCAGTTTTGGATTTGGGGCGTGAATATTACTGCAACAGTCCACCGTGCGCTTAGAGCGGTTGAATGCCAACTCTTGGCTTTGCAAATTGCTGGGCATGCGATTGGACCTGGCATAGAACTAAATATTGGCGCCACAGCATTTGGTGTTGAGGCATCTTGTGAATGGAATCTTGATTGACACAAGTTGCGGAGTGTTTTGTGCCAAAATCACGTGTGAGAGTTCAAAGTTTTGGCACTGGCACACTCAAATGCGAAGGAAATATGACCAGGCAGTATTCAATGTTGTGTGGTTCCTGTGCTGCAAACTCACGAGCCAGCATTAGCAGGCCAGCCCAGAAGCTGAGAATGTAATGTTCTCCTTTTTGGCATTGCAGCTGGGGTAGGATCGTTAGACTAGATAACCATAATATGGAAAGCGTGCATTTATGGTATGCATTAGAATAGGAATGCAGAGCACATTACCAAAGCTGTGCAAGTGTGACGGCAGTACATTTGCCCAGCCGCTCGTCAGATTTGATTGAGTCCGGCCAATGTTTTGCATCCGCCGTGCAGAGGATCGTTAATGTTGATTACTCGATTCCCAGCTGGGTGCGGATGTCAGAGGACTGCAGGGACATTCTGTCCAAGATCCTGGTGAAGGACTTGAAGAAGCGCTTGACGATGGACCAGCTGCAGCAGCACAGGTGGTTCAGGAAGAACCTCCCGGAAGGGGCCCAGGACATGAACAAGCGTCTGCAGCAACAGGGATCTGGATTGCAGGTGTGCTGATGGCCTAACTGGATTCTGTTTGCAAATATGACGCCAAGTTTATTTTTCTTGTTGCTTGTTGCTTCTTTTGCAAACCATAGCAGCTAAGTATGAGAGATGAGCTGTTGCCCCATCCTGATGGAACGTTCATAGTGTGCCCCAAATGTTAGAATTGCTAGGATCCTTTGCCCCAGGAACGGTGTTTGTGTTCATTCAGAGTGCAGAATATCAGAGTCTGAAGACCAGGAAATCTTGTGCCTTCACTCTGTGGGAAGTATCAATTTTCTCTGCTAGATTGGCATCGTTGCCTTTTGGAACCACCTTTTGGGTGAGATGATGAGTGGCATGGGTTAATGGAAGTGAAAGTCTTGCAGGGGGTTGGCATTAAATTATGATTGGACAGCAATTTTCTTTGACAGTTCATGAGTTACATGCTTTTGCAAGCTGTCCAGTTTGATGTGGAAGCACCCATGGGGACTGTAAGAATGCAAGAGAGCAGAAGATGTTGGACTAGGAGGTGTTCCTGCAGCTTCAGTGATTGTCTGCGGTCCTGCTTTTGCCTGTTTGGAATTTGATCAGCGCTCATCCTCATAAGTCCCACTCGCAGAGCGTCGAGTCCATCACCAAGATCGTGGACATGGCCAAAGTCAAGGAAAAGGTCAAGGACGATGATGCGTTGATCGATGATGAACTCGCCAACCTCGAAGATGAAGATTGAAGAATTGACTGGGCTGAAGAAAGTACACCGGCAGTTATGGGTCAGACGAGATCAGCATGGTTGAAATCTCAAAGGAAGATGCCAAGGTGCCACATCTGGAGTTGGTTGAATGCAACACGCGTGGCCGAAGCAGACCTTTAGTTTGCTGCCGCAAGCTTGAAAGCCCCAAAATGTTGAAGATGCGAAGATTCAAGATCCAGGATTTGAGGTTTTGCTTGGGTTGTTTCCCGGCTGGCATCGGCAAGTTGCCCCGCTGTATGACCGTGTAAGTTTTTGCTGGTCCTGTTGGTGTGTTCATTTGCAGGATGTTGGGATGCTGGCCAGGCAGGTGCATCTCTTGTGTTTGCCTGTCCAGTGAGGGGGATCATTGGAGTATAGGCAAGGAGCATGTTGAAAGGGGGGGAGAACAGGATGTAGGGAGGGTAAAATGTGGTTGCGAGTTGAGCGCAACATTGCAACAGAACTGGTGCCATCGAGAGATTGGGGCTCCCATGGGGCTGAATTCCTTTAGGCTTGTATTGGCATTCAGGGGCAAACAGTGCGCGAGTAAACGATGGGTGTCGATGATTGGGTGTTTGCATGTGTCGTCGTTGGCTGCTTGTTTGGCGTCTGCTGCGCTGGACGCGGCGTCGTGGATGCATGGTGTCGGCTTGGAAGGCGATAGGAGGCGCCTTGTTGGAGCGCCAGGGGCTTGTGCTTGCCGCGCTGTTATTGTCGCTCACGGGATGGGCGCGGTGCTTTTTTGTAAATTCGGTGTATTGTCCGGCGCGGGTTTAAGGGAGACGGGTGGGAGGGGCGGGAGGGCTGGTCGACTTCCTTGGTTGCCGCTCTCCTCCCCAGGCTGTCAAGCAGATGAGCGCCTTGCGCGGTGCCTGATGCCAGCGCCAATGCTCCAGGCACTGTGGCTCCGAGGCCAGACGGTTGCGAGGCTGTTGCGGAGATAGGCACCTCGCGGCCGTGTCATTCTCGTCCAGGGCTTGCTGCCATGCTTGCTTCGTCCTATGTGCATGAGAAACAAACGCGCATTTTCGTCATTCGCTGTTGCTCGCAGGCGCTGCAATGGCCCGACGCGCTTTGGGGTTATCTGCCCTTCGCGAGGTGTTAGACCCACCTCGGAAAAGGCCAGCGTCGTGCCTCCCACTTTTGCATCCAGGGTGATCGACTGACTGGCCTCAAATGCATCATGGCCAATGATGCTATAATAATGCTGTTGCTGCATGCGTGTCATGTAAACAAAAGGGTCTTTAAGTACATGCATGTGGAGCATGTGCAATGCACCAAAACCCCAAAACTTGCAGGACAGCAACGTGCGTGTATTTTACCAATCACAATCAGATAAGAGGCGCCATTTGTCATGGCAGCACGGTGGCATCATGGTCTTTGCCGCTGTGTCTGATTGCTGTCCGAGTCATGCCTCAGCTGGAGACCTGTTGGACAATGCTGATTTTTTACCAAAAATATTTTTCACAAAATTACTTAAATTCACTTTTGGTATTATGACGTCTTGTCGGGTTGGCACGACAGAGATCGTCCGAAGGCTCCGCCGAGGCATGTGATGCTTGAAATTGGGACTGTGGGCGTGGTATGCCAAAGTGTTGTGCACGTGTGAAGACCAGTAATGTCTTAAAGACATGAGAGCAATGTCTTTCAGACAAGACCTTTTGGAATGTCCATGTCATGTTCTTCTACAAGCCCAAAGTGTGAACCAATGGCTGCGTGTCTGCCCCGTCTGGACCATGGGAGCATCCGAATCGAGCCAGTTGCCTCTGTTTGGAGGGAGGGGGCTGTTGTACGATCAAGAGACATGCTTGGTTGCAAGGGGCGGGCCAAAATGCGCACTCCCACGCACTCTCTGTGGCGCTTGCGCCACGTGCTGCACAGAGAAACGTCGCAACCATCTGATCCCATTTCCATGTGCGATTGTCTGGGGAGCGTTCTGGCAGCTTGGCTTGGATTCGGTGGACGGTTGGCAAGCCTTAAGCATCTTCTGGCCTTGGCTCTGACGTGGCAAACGCGGGGCCATAGTGGGCATCTGCCATGGAGGTGTCATCACCATCATTCATTTTTATAGAACAAGGCAATGAGGTAGCCGTCAGCTTCCTATTTTGCCGGAGCAAAGCAGTGTCTATGATCAGTTCGTTGAAATCAACTGCTCACCACAAACAAAGTCTATTAACTCCTAATGGCGACAAGCGATTGTCGATGACAATACATCGGAAAAAGTGTCCTCGCCGGTTGGCGAACGGCAACCGAAGCAAAAGGTGCCACGGAGGAGTCTCTCAAGGGCGAACAACGTGCTTCAAGAGTTCTGGAATCAGGGTGTGACAGACGAAAGGAATTTCTCCACTGTTGCGTATTTTTTGCATCTTGTTGCTGCATTTTGCATTGAAACAACGAAACGACAAAAAAAAACGATGCGTATGATGGGAGCACGAGGCATTCAGGCTGTGCCATTAACATGTCGTCATCATTAAATCTTACATAACATGTGAATGCGCTCATCAGCGAATCAAGCAGCAATCATTGCCCGGTCAAAATCTCCACAGCCCGCTCCACGTCGCCATCCGCTGCCCGCAGCGCCGCCTGTATGGCCTGCGGTTTGAAGCCCATCTCCAGCAGCTGCTGGCGGGCCGAGTCGTCAAAAGGCGCGGCACCTGCTTAAAAAACACGCACATGGTAAGCCCACATTCAAATCGATCGGAAAAATACTGAAAAGCACGAGCTGCGCCCACTACGGCTTCAAATCGCATCGAAACCGCACATCGCTGAATCTCCATTTACATTCAGATAAGCATTTGTATTCAGATATCTGTGCTTAGTCAGTTTTTTGCGAATCGCACATAAACGCTTGAGGCCAATATTGCAAATATGTGCATGCATAAAACATTGCGTGAGCAAGAAGGTTTCCTTTGGATCACTGGCGGAGCCATGTCGTCGAGTGCTGTCGCACAGGGCTGTTGGCAAGCTTCGACGGCAGGCCACGCAACACCAATTCCCAAAACCCTCATGCCTTCGCTCATCGCTGCATCTTTCTGTATTCTGTAAGCTTGCCCAGGCAGTACTTGTGCAAATATGTCCAACATTGCATTAACAGGCGAGAGGGTTAAATGCCTGGATCTTGAAGTCCAGCAGGGAGCCAGTGACATCATTTCGTTAGGCAGAAATGCGTTACCTGGAGCAATGGCCAGGGAAATTAGGACTCTGATGTGGGGACCAAAGGTCAATTGCGAGCGGTCGGGAATGTTTGCGTTCTTCAACAGACGCCTGTGCACCAGCGGTGTGCAATAGACTGGACAGTGTTGGTTCAATCGGCCAGGAAAGCTAGGACAACAGGTCAGGGAAGCTGTCGTCCGCCCAAAATTTGCTTGAGGAAGCGATAGAAACCCAATCCATCTAACACAATCCAAGATTAGCTGTTGACAGTCAATGTGAGTACCCTTAAGTTTTGAATTCACAAATTCCCATCCCTTTAATGTCGAACACACATTGCCACATTGAATAATCCTTCCTGCCACTCCTCCCTGGGCAAGATTCGTGCTGGACTGTTCCAACAACAGCTGGAGGAAAGGGCCTTGAGGAATCCCGTTCGAGCGTACCAAAACAGTCCACCACAAGACACGGCGAATGAATTCTGGCCCAAGACAATGTTGAGGGTTAAACATGGCCATCGCCCAACCTTGGTCCCCATCGCTCCCGCTGGGCTGCGGCTCTTCCACCAGTGGCTGCCGCTCCGCAATGTGGGTTGGCAGCTCGGGGTATGATGCGGATGGCTCCACTGTCCCCAGCGCATGTGCAGATGCACCGGCCTCTACACGAGTAAGCTCGGCCTCAACGTGTGCCCATGGGGGGACATCGCCATCCCGCCGTTCACCTGCACAAGTTCGTGCTACCATTACACAATGCGGCCATGAAATAATCCATCAAGAATTCATGCTGATAATGGATATGCTAATGAACCAGCACCTGGGCCGTGTCGAGACCAACATCGTCAGGAACAGTACAAGCACAACTTTACATCTTATCCCCAAATCTGTTAATATGGAGATTCTCCATGGAGAAACATGCTCTGGCAATGGGTAATGTCAAATTCTCTCGCATTACATTCAAAGAGTGGCAAAGAACAGTGCAGCGCCAGCAACCAGTCATCGAGAACAAAACTCTGAAACAGTCTTCCACGTGCAGTGTGTACTATCCCAATTCACCCAGCACTCAGCCTGCACCTGAGAAACCTAGTACTGTGTGCACCAAGAAATATGCACTCAAGTACTGGCTACTTCATGCTGTACCCAACTTGCCCGACAGGGTATTCACTGCAAATATGTGGTTGCTCACATTGTTGCACTCCACACAGCATCTGGATCTGAATTCAGCCAAAAGCAAGTACCAGCTGCTCTTTGTAATCTGTACTCAAAAACAAAATAGGTCAATGTAGGGAAAGCTGTGCATGACTCACCGCCAACTGTTCTAGCAGGCCCGGCAAAAACGCTGCCAGGGTCTGCCAGCGCAGGCTGTTGCTGCCTGTTACCACGAAGCCAGCTCATACTCGGGACGCTCCATCCGCTCCCACCAGGGCTGCAGCACAACATTGCCACATGTAAATCGACATTCATTGCACTTTGCCAGGGGAATCATTGGATCTCTCTGCAATGAACGAACTAAATCATTGCCCTCGCACTCCCAGGCCTTGCCCTGTCAGGTGCACAAATGCTTTACCATATATACACACGTGCCCAGGATGAATCCGACTGCTAAGCAGAGAGGCGAGCTTGCCAAGAAATCAGTGATAGCCCTGCAAACCGACCACTGGGCTGTGAGAAGCAAAGCATCACTGATTGAACACCAACACCCATCTGCTGACAATGATGCTAACTGGTGCCCATGGCAGCCCACACAGCTAAGTTGTCTGCTTGATGCACCAATGAGTAAGGCAAAGCACAAGACTTGGCAGTTTGCGGCCCTCCATGCACAATGCGAAGAGCATCTTCACAAATCGACGTTCAACTTCAAGTACTTCCAAAGTGCACCTTTGAGTTGGCAGTTGCTGGGGACCTGCAGTGGTCAAGGACACATAGCTGGAGCGATGGGTGCAACACGATAGCCATGAGTAGTCCTCCATCCTCTCAACTGTGGCAGTTGACAACACCACCCACTGCAGCCAGTCCCGTACGTACATCTCACCCACCTGAGCACATTGGGCATCAGAAAGGTGCAGACCTTTGGCTGAAAACATGGTGCCTTTGCTGGTTAGCATGCCCTGAACCCTAGCTGCACCAAGTGCTAAACTAACTATCAAATTTGCTGCTGCAATTTAGGTGTTACTCAATGTACTCCCTAGCTGACATACAGAGTGTGCCCCTACTTTGGTCCACAGTTAGTGCCCTAATTCCCAAAGACAGGAGACTCTGGAGACTTTTGTTCCAGCGAAAAGATGACAGCATCAATGCAAAGTCTGCACAATCCATGCACTAGTCATGGCACAGATCAGATAATGCTTCACACGTCGAGCACATGCAGCCTTGCAAGGGCAGACTTCAGTGTGGCATGAAACCTGCTTGCATCAAAATGTGACAATCTGACACACTTTGGACTGTGAGGCAATGTGGGGTTCGATGTGGCAGAGGGGTAAATGCTATTGGATCTATGCACTGCCTGTCCCATGCCGGGAGCTGCACACAAACAAGTCTGCGACTTCACACCCTCGCCAGTGTTGGATGTCTCAGGAGGACCATCGCAAACTAACAGGAATTTCTTGCCAACTAGCAGACCATGCAGTGCCATGGGCGCCAGAATGCCAACAGCAGGACACATCGCCAGGCCCCCCGGAAGAGGCACCATTATGAGGCCTGGAACACCTGGTGATGGACAGTGATACCACCAAGTGCAACGATGCAGTCACTTGCTCCTACCAATATTCCGCAGAGGTGGCCAAAGAAGGATATGCGCGGGATCATGAGTTGCCAGAAGACAAGCAGCGCCCATGGGTACAGCGCAGCAGGGACGGTGAAGAGCCCCAGAATGCTGCGCTGGCTGGCACCACTCAGCTTTGTGTCGATGACGATGAGACCAAACACCACACCTGAGAAGCCGATGGGGCACTCCAGCATGATGGCTGGATAGACCATCCTGTGGGCAGCACCAAACATTTCAATGGAACACGCACCAGTGCTGCTGGTGCAGTACAATGTACTGCATGTCATATGGCTGTGGTGTAGCAGTGCAGAAGTAACTGCCAGCCAGACTGGCCTCTTATCATTCTGCGGTGCTAAAGTGAACGAGGAGAATCACATCTTTTCTGAAGCCGTCCCGAGCTGCACTGCAGACTTGACAGGAGGTTCGTCAGTGAGCAGTCCATATGTGGAGGTCTTGATTCTTTGACCAATGCATGCAGCGGTCAAATGTGAGACACCCTGGCCATCAATGCAACACCAGCGTTGCACTGATGCCACCTAAGTCACACATTTGCAATGCTGTGGTGGATCGCACGGCAGAGAAGGCCACCATCAAGTGTTAGGAAGGTTTTAAAGCACACCAAGTCAAAACAGATTGCAGTGAAGCCCCCCAAGTACCAGAGAGCTGCACGCATGCAGACTGTTATGCAACGCCTATCCAATGCCACTTTCACAGCCACTCAGGACACCTCTTCCATCAGAATGGGGGATGTGATAACCATGTACTTGGATGTGGAAGTTCGGGATGAAATGAACAGTACAGTGAAGAGGACATGAGAACTGAAAAGCAAAAAGCGGTGAAAGGGAACGGCACTCACGACAGTGTCAACGTGTAGGCCAGCAGAAGATAAATCGCCTCGCCCAGAATAATGATGAGGCCTATCAAGTGGGCAAACTGCGCACATGCAGCATAGAAATCAGCATGCAAGGACAAAATGCGATCAGGGTCAGGACCAGAGCTCCAGATCTGCAGTGGTCGAAACTGAATTGTGAGTCCTTTCAAACAGATAAACTCCCTGATGAAAATAGGCACCAAAGCAGTTACAATCCTATCAGTTAGTCTGCAATTGACAAGGTTCAAATGCCAACACATGATATTTAGCAATTCAACAGGATAAAATCCAGTTTGTAAAGTAGCATCTGAGCACGAAGACCAGAGACATCAGCTGCGGAGCAAGGACTGCAACCGAAGTTCCTTCAGTATGTTTCTTCTTCCAAAATCTTCACAATTGTTGCTACCAGCATAGTGAAGTTCAGAGCAAGACACGCCAAGCACATGTCACCACATAATCATCCAGAATGACCACTTCATGTGCAACAAACACATCGTTGAAGGCATGTCACGAAATGTCGATGAACTAGACAAGAATAGCCATATCAAAGCAGAGGCCAGCACCATCAGATGTTCGTTCAACATGTACACGAGTGCCTTGTCAACAAAGACCGGAACACATATGATGGTCAAAATAGCTGCAGCCGCGGGAAAGAGTAACGAATGCCACTGACAACAACCACACGCGCACACACACAATTGCATGTATCCTACTCAGAGTTGCTGCACACGTACCCAATAACAACTATTCCCATGATCTTTACTGGTGTGCTTTCATTTGCACAAGATCAATGTCTTGGGTCTCCATGGCCTTGTTCATAATTGCGAGGTGGCACAAGGGCCCACCTGTCTTCTTCTGTAAGCACTGGGCTGGCACCTGGGCTCTTACATATGGTGCATTCTTTTGGATCAAATATGGAATGAAGGCATTCTCACAACCACTGTGGCAGCTCTTCTCAGAGTCAACAGGTACCACTGCATCTCCATGGTTGTGACCAATGTAATGGTTGAGAATGCCATGCCTCTACCTTCAAGGTGCCCATATGTCTCTCAAGTGTTCTTCCAATTGGCACGAAGGCCAGCATGTTGAAGCCGACATGCAGCAGTCCAACATGGAAGATTGCACTGGTTATCAACCTGTACGCTACCAACACACAGTCAGGTTCTTAGAAGCTGATGACTGTTTCAACAACGACGCCATCATGACGCACAGTGCCTGCTGCCCCACCAGTCCAGTACACGAGCACCATCACCAACCTTGTCCAGCACTCTGGAAACAGACCTGATACAGCTGCACCAACAAACTCTTGCCATGGGCATTGTTGACCAAGTGTTTGTCGACCAAATTATCAATCATTCAGCAGGTGTTGATGACAGCAATGCAATAAATCAGCACATGTCAACTGAGAACTGTCCCTAAAGTTTATCAGGGAATGGAAATTCCCTATATCTTATTCTCTTTCCCACCTCATGGAATAGTTGATAACACACAAGAACTTGCTGTGTCTGCATGTCGATTGCCGGCAAACACACCCAAGAACATTTTGGTGGCCTTCCCACCAATGAAGAGCATCTCAGCAGAACTCCAAAGATGTGGACAGAGAATCAGCGCTCCGCAAATGCTTTTGTGCCCCTGGAAACAGAATCGCTTCAGGGCTGGCCAACACAAAGGTGGCATTGTCTGGCTGGGACTCACCTTGGACCAACAGCAGGCTGATCTCTGGGCGGAAGCACACCATGTACAGTGCATCAAATCCGACCAAGAGGCTCCATATGTAGGTTCCACCACACACCACCAGCACAGACCTGTGCACACGACATTGTGAGACATTTTTTCAAATGAAGCCAACACACCACGCTCTGGGCACTGGCTTTCCTGGATGAAAATAGTGCAGCGAGGATCATTTCCACAATGCAAAAGATCATGCAGAAGTCAATTAGTGGAATGGGAGCAGGACACAGCAGATAAGAGTGTGGATAGCAAGATGCACACCAAGGAGGGATATTTGAGCAGGTGTTACTGCCATTTCCATTGCAATTAACTTGTTCACTACATAGTTCATCAGCATCCACTAAATGACACTGCTCCCCGCAGCCCACACAAAATGTCTCTGTCCTTATGCCACCCCTCAGTGATGCAGGTCAGGCTGTGTTTGTTGCTGTTGTTGTTCATCAGCAGAGTCAGATAACAGTCTGTTAGGAAAGTGGGATGATGCCTCTGTCCCACGCACACTTTCCAGCTGCAATACACCCAGCACTTGTGCCCTGCTTTGGCAGCTGTAAATGCTGGAAACCAAAACCTACAACATCCACCAGCCCATCTCCAAGCAGCCGCAGCACTGCACTTGATAGCAACAGCAGGGCTGCACAGAGAACGCTCCAAAGGACTCGATCTCTTTCCCATGCACAGCCAGGAGCACCACCTGTCAACCTCTCAACCTGGGCCCAAGCTCCCCAGCCTAGTTGGGCCCATGGCGGTGCGTTGCTTCATTGCAATTTGATAGGAGGGCAGCTATGTGAACATATCGAACCTTCTCCACAATGGCATGCTGCAGGTTTCCACCCGTGCTTTCCTTGCGCCTAACCCCTGGCTTCTCATGCCCTGCCACCAACCCCAACCCTCACAACTACACCCACCATACATGCTTCAAAAACATCACACTGTGCTTGCATTCACTGCCTGTTATCGCCAGCTTGGTGAAAGGGCTCGGATTTGTCATGCTGTGCAAAGCATGTAAACAATGGAATTGGACCCATCCCCACCAACAACACCACCAAAATAAGATGCCGAGATGATCGCCTGGTCGGATAATCACCACCCTGCCACCAAGGAAAAGCTGCAAGGAGCTCCTCAACCCTTCCTGCTGGCGACTGGGCGCACATCTGCAATGTGCCAATATCTTCTTTCGCCAACAGTGCAAACGCTGTTCGTTGTTCGCTGACATCGCCTCACAGGTGCAAGCGCAAATGATGGACAAACATGAGCCCCTGCCCCCTCCTTGACAGGCCTAGCCTTCGATGTTAAATTCCCCCTCTCTCTTGCGAAAACAAACGACATCCAAAGGATTCTGCAACTGCATCGCATTTTCAAACAATTCACAACGCAAAAAGAAGCACAATTCAATCGGCCCCCGGCTCCCTCCCCCCCCGACGGGTACCGCAAGAAAGGATCTGCGGCAAAGACGAAGGGTACAACCCGCACGGATGCACGCCCTATGCGCTCACTTCGTGCACAACGAGACGCCGGCGAACCACGTCCCGACCCTGGAGGTCAGCGACGGCTCGCCGGGCGCGTCCCCGCTCATCGCTACCCCGCCTCGCAGCCGGTCCCGCCGTCGGTCGGCGATCCCGCGTCCCTCGCGCGCCGATGCGGCCGCCCGGCGTTGGGCGCGGGCCCGCCCTCGTACAGTGGGCAGTCGCTGGTGGCGGTCGAAGAGGGGAGGCAGGCAACGCGGGGCAGCGGCAAGCTTGTGAGGTGACTTGTCGAATTGGCATCCTGTCCTGCAGGGAATCGAGAAGCTCGTTTCGCCGTTTGCTTTTGGGGGCCCACAAGATTTGTTACAAGAGAGAAGGAAACAGGTCATACCAAGGGCATCCCTTCCTCAGCAAGTGTATGCGAGACTCTTCCATGCTGCGAAAAGGTGATACAGATGGGGGTAGGGGGGGGGGGGGGGGGTGGGGTTGGGGGGGTGGGGGGGGCTTTTGTGCATTTTGTTTCCATTCGTTTGACCTTATGAAGCAGCACCGTGCCGACGAGCTCGTGCAATAGCGAGCCCTGCATCGGTCAAGTGCCATATCCTGGTTAATGAATGTGATGTGGACGTGCCACCATATCATGGATGTCAATATCCAGGATATGAGCCCTAAGTAACGTAGATATGGTAGCGGGATATGGCCCTGCCATGGATGCGCATGGATGTGTAGCTTTTGTCCCAACCCGAATAGAGCCACAGTCTAAACAGCGAAATATTTCGGCTACATTCGCGCAAATTCGCTTTTTATCCCTACCGTGCTGGCGTTGAGCAACTCCTATTCAGGTCATGTATGGCAGCTTGTAAGTCTTCAAGTAACAAAACAATTCTAGTTACAATGGCCAAGTCCTACACTTCAAGTCAAGAAACGTTAGGAACATGCCCTTTTTCTTTTATGCCGTATTACATTATACCCTTCTGCTTCACAATGCAATGTTTGGCGTTTTGGAGCAATAACGAATATGTGATGGTGCCAAGAAGACATAGAATATACCCTTCAGTGATGCTCGGGTCTCTGGCGTCTAGTGGCCCCGGATGCATAAGTCGCTGTGGCAGCAAATCAGGATTTGAGGTCACGTGAATTGAGCGAAGTTGCCATTCTGGTTGTGGCCATGATGCCGAGACCCTCAAAATAACGGTCTGTCGATAAATGCAGAGAAAATTGTAACGTTGAGATTCGAAATGCGCAAGGGTTGGATTACTACGGTACACGTTCAAAAGCACAAATCCAACTTATTACCAATGGGTGCTGCTCAGTAGCAGAATAATAGTATATGGGGGTCCAAAGCGGCGGTTTTCATGCACTGTCGAAAACCCTTCGTCAATTTTCATGAATTTAGGTTTTTGGTCAAAACAGCGTTGTAAAAGACAACCTGGCACATTTAAGGCACATGGCCGCCTTCTGCATCTACAATTCCTCTTCACAACAGGCTCTAAAAAACGCAACAAATAAGTGAATAATGTACGGAAACCATGAAAAGAAATAAGCTTTTCGAATACGTCCCTGAATTTCTCCTCCAAATTCCTCCAAATTTCAAGATTTCACACAAAAAGCGACAATCGGAAACCAAACGACCGTCAATTCATTATGCATTGGCGTGCCGGCCCATCATACAAGTAAATCCGACGGACAAGATACATCCCACAGCCTTCGCGCTACTCATTCCAATGGATTCATGCGCTCCAAAGCAGCCACTTCGCCATGACCCACAGGAAAATGGTGAAGGAAGCAGATGAAAATACAGAACATGTAAATAACACACAAAACATAAACACAGCATTTTCCTGCTGACGTATCATTAAGTCCGTAATTTCCGTCCTCCAAACTGCAGAACTGCAAATTTATGTCGCAACGGAAGGGACACATACCCATTCCCTATAGAAACGTATATGCGCATGACAAAGGTACCAAAAATGGTGCCATAAAAATCGTCAGATGCCTGGCGCGGGTGTCTCTTGAGAAGCGCTCTGGCTTGCCTCATTCTCACTTGTACAGCTGGTGACGCGCCAAGTTCGCCACGTTGGGGGATGGGGGCAGAGCGGCACAACCTGCTGCGGCAAATGGCATATATCGGCATGCCTGCAGGCGATGCCAAAGCGCCTATTGGAACTTCGAAAGGAAGGACAGCAGCGGAAAGCAGGGTAAAATCCACCAGGGTATCTTTGATCGAGTCCGAGTTAGATTTATTGCAGCCAACACCAGCGCATAGCACCTGATCCCATCAGAAGAAGGGCAACTCAGAGCGCCTGTTGCCTCTTTCAGCTTCAGTAACCTGCAGAATGGTAAGGACAAGTTCAGCGGATCTTCAGTTTCCGCCAGTGTCCAGAGGTCTGAAGTCCATACACCTGAACTGTTGCAGAGTGGCTGGGTAAGCTTCACCCTCCCGTAAACTACTATCACCCGAATTTCGGTCGTCGGTCCATGACCATTTGACCGCGATGTTTTGAGTTCTCTTTCATTTTCCGGCAATGCATGGACAGGGCGGCGGCGGCCGTTCCTGTGAGCGTTTAAGCTGGCAAATTTGGCGAATTCAATGACTTTGCCGCCGCAAGTTATTTCCATCGTTTCAGTGCTTTCGGTATTTACAATCAGTGCATCATTAATTGTATTCTCTGGACACGCTAAAATGCATACTGTATATACAGTATGTGTATATGTTGTCAAGCAAATCCCGTCAAGAATCAGCAAAAACTCCAAGGAAGATATTAGTATCAAGAGCAAGCGATACGCTGAAAGAATGAGCTCTTGCTGATGTCTGGGTGGATATTTCTGACTAGCTGTTCTGGGCCGTGCGCCATTTTGGTTGTCTCTCATTGTGTCGCGGCAGCATTCAACAGATGCCCGCAAAGTTCTTAGTATCAAGAATATGCCAAATTAAATTGCATATTTGCGGTAATTTGCGTTTGTCATGTTTGCCTTCCCATGCGATGCCATCATATGAATGCTTTTTATGGTGGAAGGATAAGGTTACTGCAATTTATGGTTCCAACAAATTCTGTCCCTTAAGCGCTGTTTGGGTCACTGATTCGGCCCTTTTGTAGTCAATAAATGGACATGGTGGCATCGCCCATGGCATGGGCTACGTTATGCCATTGGGCAATAATGCACACACTGGAACGGCATGCAGTGTGATTTCGACCCTTTTCAGATAATGATATCGTCTTCTGTCAGTAAAATAAACTAGATATCAATATCTATATGGATTATGGCTTCAGATGAGATACTTTGGAAATGGCGCTCCTAATCATTCGCTATATAAGATGCATCCCATATTTCCTCATTATCCCAGCAGATCTTGCACACACGCACGATGCAATCAATAACGATAATTGAAACACCAAAAAGAGATGAAGTTAGAATGGTACATGTAAACTTTTACCGATAATGCATGTTTTACGCTGAAGTGTTTTTGAGGCTTGAATTTGTATGTTCAGCAGACTCCTTTTCCTTCGTAAGTGATTTCTTGCGCTATCATCTACATATGGGTAGTTTCAATATCAAATCAATCCACAATGCTGTAGCAGGCTGTGTGCTGGTCCGAAAATCAACGTACGTAATGAATGTTGACCCGAACTTTGCCGGCAAAAGATTGTATCAACATCATACACATTATCCAGTCCTTCAGGGCTTAGTGTATTTTCCTCTGAAAATAGGTTTTGCATCCCTTCCCTACCCTATGCATCGCATACAAAGCACATCAAATTACGATGCAAACAGGATCCTCATGATAGAAAGTTGGAACACATTAGAAATTAGGGTTAAATAGTAGACAAGGTGCACATGACATTTACAACACATGGCAGCAAAATAGTTGTTTAAGATCAACAGAAAAGAAACATTCAGCTATTTCAGGATAACAATGAAGCATGCAAATCTGTTTGTTGAAACAGCGCATTTAATGGTGCCGGTAACAAAGGAGCGGGCTATTCAAAGGTGTTTTTAAAACACAAAACATCTAATATGGCAAACTCTTGAATGAAGCAAATGGTTTATGTGTCGTTTATTGAGCAGGCGTTGATTGAATGCCCAATTGCTGCAGCTTGCGCGCCACGGCCGCTGCTGAGCGATGGTTCCTGGTGTTGAAAATTTCCATCGTTTTCTTGATAAGAATTAATTAATGCCTGTCGATAGACAGAGTTTGTTCCATGTAAACTCAGGCGTGTCTATATGGCTTCATATTACAACGTTCCTTTACTACTTGGCACAGTGATTTCCTCCATGAATTTGCATTGTTCTGTACCTTGCCAACGAGAGCGATAGATAGCGCGGTAACCTGGGACTATATGGGGTTTCTCCATGGAGGAGGGGCGTTCATCATACCTGAGTACTTGTCCAACCTTAAGCAAGAATTTTCGGAATAAAATTGTAACTACACGAACAATCTACCGTGAGGAAAAACGCAGCCTAAATTTGAGCAAAAGCTTACTCATCCCCTTATTCATTTGCAACTTGAAACAAAATGTAAAGTTCTTTGTCCTGTGTTCAAGAATTTAAATCAGACTGCATATTCAGATATACATTATTCTGGCTATTGCAATTACAATGGAGGAGCCTACAACTTCCGCACCGACTCTACATATGTCTGTAAGGGGAAGTTCAGTGGCTGAAAATTAATTTACTTTAGCCTCATCCGGCGGTCTGGCAGCTCCTCTTCCACCTGTCTTGTGTTAGCGCACCCCTCCCGGCATCCCATCTGGTGCACCTGACAGGCAGTGCCTATTTGAGATCTTTGTTCCAGACCATGTTGTGCCGTTTGAACCGCATTCTCTGCTGATCCACTGTTTCCCAATTACCAAGTCTTAGCAAGCCCCAAATTTGAAATGGCCATGTGCCATTATTAAATTTCCTGGGACACATTTTGGACCTGAAAAGGACTATTTCCTGCAGCACTTGAATTTCCCAAAATTCATTGCAGTTGGTGGCGTGGATTTCAAAACATGTGCATCATAGCTAGACGCTCTGTTGCTAGTCACCGTGTCATTCATATTGAGCGGCCTGTATTGCACAAATGAGTGCATGACTGAATAAGTTAATAGGTAATGGAAAAAAGTTG